AGACTGCATTCTTACAGTAGGCCTTATTGTCGACATGCAGGAAAAGTGGGCATTGGAAAAGTAGGATCTTTCCAAAGCTTGAAATCTTGTACAATGAGATTGAACAGCTAGCAGAGTTGCGTTTAGTGGGCTGAACTGTTTTGAAAAGTTTGGTACAGTTTGAAAAGAGTTCTTAGAATATTTTGGTAACTAGATTATTATTCCTGGCACATATCCCTCCCTCTTCCCTCTTTTTTTTTTTTTAATTTACCCCTTTATTACTCATTGTTTGGGACAGACATGCATAGTTCAGGCTGACATATATGTATTTCAACTATATATGATTTTGGGGTTTCATTTAAAAATAAAAATAATTCTTAAATAAAGTTACCATTTGAACTAAGTTCTAGTAAATCAGGCTTCTTATTTCAGCTCTTAGACATAATTTGTCCCTACTTGTTGTTTCCAGGAATCCACAAACAAATCTACTCCCCAGAAGCTTAAAAAGGTGTCCTCTTTCTTCCTCCTCCTTTCATCCACTCATTAGCACATCCCAGCTGGTGAGCTTTCCCTCCAGGATGAACAGCTGACAGCTGAGGAAACTTCTCTGCTGTAGGACAACTTTCTCTATACTAGCTTTTAATACTCTTTCCTAGGTGCAAATGTACACCCCATCACAAACTCTATTCTAAAATAATTAAAATTAACCTCCTCAAGTGTCCTGTCCCCCCCCCAAAAAAAAAATATAATTAGGATAAAAATCAATGTGCATTAGTAAAGGGGAAAGTAACTCAGTGTCATAATTTGCTATTCATGGAAGACAAAGAGAAAATATTTGAGTCCTGTACCAACAAAACACACCCCTCTGGGAATGCTGGTCATGTAATGTGTGTTTGGTCTCAAAAGGAGCTTGTGATCTTCAAGCAGTGGCACAAGGACCATTAAAAGGCAACTCTACACAGTGTAGAAAATGCAGTGATATCTCACTGTTCAAAGAAAAAAAACTGTTAAAGCAGCAGTCATTGTGCCTCTTCAGACTGCTGATATTAAAGTAGAATCAGGAAATTGTGAAGACAATTAATACAGGGATCATTAAGAATCTCAAAATCTGACTGCAGGTAGCATGCTACAAAACTTGCTTCAAATAGTTCACATACCAACTGTGCTCTGTGATCGATCGATCAGCACTAAATGAAAATTACTTTCATATTGGTTGAGTCAGAAAATACAGCAATTATTTATGAAGAATAACAAAGAAATCTTTCATTAACTCCTGTTTACCAGGTGATTAATCTTCTGTGTTGCTCTTGTCTACCTCCATGTCTTTTATGCTAATTGGCAAAACTGGAAAGCAGTAAGTAAAAGTATTAATAGGCCTCGTCCTGCGCAAATTGAAAAGTCAACAGAAAATCGCTGTTGGTCCCAGTGAAAGTAGGAGTCAGGCCCAAAAAGCAGCTAATCATCGTCCTTCTAAGGCAGGGGTGTCAAATGCATCTAGCCCCACAGGCCAGATTAGTAGCATGGGACCAGTCTGTGGGCTGGACTGGGTCCACAGACCAGCCCTTGGTGCCAGATCCAGCACGTATTACAGAGTCAGTCCCATGTGCAGTGTGCCCCCCAAACTTACTGTTCCAGGACTGCACTGCACGTAACACCTGCTCCAGTGTGCCTCTGCTCAATGATGGATCCAGCACATATCCCAGCATGACCAGAGCAGGCTCTACCTACAACACAGAGGCAGAGCAGCTAGTGGGCACGGTGTATGGTGCTGTCCCAAACTGGCTGCTCCAGAACCACACTGCACATGGCACCCGCTCTAGCCACTCCATGCTACACAGTCCAGGATTGCGTTACATGCAGTGTCTACGGCAGTCACTTTAGGACCATGCACTGGATCCAGCATGGAGTGGATGTGTGCTGGAGTCTGTATCTTTGACACCCCTGGTCTAAGGGGTTATCATTTTTCCATTTTGCATTGTGTGGGTATGCTTACATATTTTCCTCACATACAAACACAGCCTAGAATAAGATATGTACCATGTTTTTGAAAGGTAGAATGAAGAAAAAAGATCTTTCCTCATAGTAACTCAGTAGCTGCAGTATATAGAGAACGCTGTGCAGGCTTCACTTTTACCTAGTAAGTAGCAGAAACTGCTCTTATCGTGTTTTTTCACTCCAATTTCTGGCAGGATTTTTCTTCTTAAATAAAAAGGTGCATGTTGTATGCGAGAGAAATAAAGCATTGGTTTTGGTGAAAAAGGCACGCAGGCATATAAAAAGAGATTTTTACCTGTAGGAGAGAGACACTTGAGGGGGTCATGATATGAGTTTACAAAATTATAAAATAGTGAAAAGAAAGCAAATGGGGATGTATTATTTGCTGTCTCTCTCAATACAAGAAATAGGGGGTTCACAAATGAAACTAGTAGGAAGTAACAAAACTAACAAAAGCCAACTAACTAATAAAATGAGCCTTCAATGCTATGCTGCGGCTAGTAAAGTGAGCAAAACACTGGCTTGCATCCACAGAAGCTTCTCAAGCAAATCCCAGGATGTCATTCTCCCCTTGTACTCAGCCTTGGTGAGGCCGCAGCTGGAGTACTGCATCCAGTTTTGAGGCTGTGAGCCCTGGGGCTCTTTAGCCTGGAAAAGCACAGGCTCAGGGGTGATCTGATGGCCACCTATAAGTTTATCAGGGGTGACCACCAGTATCTGGGGGAACGTTTGTTCACCAGAGCGCCCCAAGGGATGACGAGGTCAAACAGCTATAAACTACTGCAAGACCATTTCAAGCTGGACATAAGGAAGAATTTCTTTACTGCCCGAGCCCCCAAGGTCTGGAATAGCCTACCATCAGAGGTGGTTCAAGCACCTACATTGAACACCTTCAACAGAAAATTGGATGCTTAACTTGCTTGGATCCTATGACCCCAGCTGACTTCCTGCCCGTCGGGCAGGGGGCTGGACTCGATGATCTTCCGAGGTCCCTTCCAGCCCTAATGTCTATGAAATCTATGAAAATTAACAAAAGCTAATTAATAAAACTAACTAAATCACAAGTGTGGAACTCATTGCCATCCCATGTTGTGGAAGCTGACAGTTTAGCTAGATTCAAAAGGGGATCAGACAAATTCTTGGAGGAAAGGGGCATCAGTAGCTATTGATACAGCCTCTGAATCAAAACTTCCTAAACCTTAAATGCTGGAGGCTGCAAGTGAGAGAGGAACAGTGGGGAAAACACCCTGGTCATACACAGTTCACTCTCCCTTTCAGCATCCACTCTCTGCCACTGTGAGACAGGATGATGGGCAAGATGGACCTATGGGCTGACCCAGTAAATGGCAGTTCTTATGTTCTATATATATTATCCACAAAGCTGGTCGCTTGTGCCTCATGATTGACATAAACTTGGATAGCTGTATACTGTCATATATCAGAAAATCCCCCTTGCGGCTCTATGCTAATTTGTACCAGCATTAATAATTTGGCATGGGATTTTCACTTCCAACACTGACACGAGCTAGGAGCATCTCTCCAGGAAAAGAGCCAGTTTGCATCTCAGAGACTGCACACGCACACTAATAACAGAAAAGTTATTAAAGAGCTGTTCTCGGTTACTTCCCCTCATGTCCATATGAATAGCCTCTCTTTGGTGGCAGGGTAATTGCTTGCGAGATTTGTTACTGGGAGCTGTAAGTTCATGCAAATCTCTAATTGCTTTTATAAAGAAGGTATTTATCCAATATAAAATGATAGCTGAGTTATGCGAGGCTTTTGTGCATCCACTAATTCTTTGGCCAAACTCCACTTGCCTCAATCACAAAATGTGGCTCTGCTTAAGTTGAAAAGTATCTTATGAAAGTCTCATTCAATGAAAGGGCAACAGGAGTTGTACGTGTGCGTCCTTGGACAGAACTTGCTCCAAGGCTGCAATTAGCAGGAGCATGGATAATGAGGATTTCATCTTTTAGAACCACCCTCCTCCTGGGCACCTCCTCAATCACAACAGGATTCAATATGGGATGTGGCTTAATCAGCATCCCGTAGTACTGGACAGTTTTGATGCAAACCCCACTTCTCTGAATGTAACAGCAGCCGCTTGCACGCAAGCCAGCCGGGGAGTTCAAGTGCAGCCTAAAAAGTTGACTGCGAGATACAAAGCATTTTGCAGACAGTTACTCCTCCTAGCTGCTCCAAGTACTTCTTTCTAGGAGCTTTCTGTTTCTTTTCAGCCTTTCCTTGTATTCTGATTTTTTCCATCGATTAATCACCCCCTTCATCCCCCCCCCCCGCATCTTCTCTAGTGTCTGGGCAATGGTAACAGCCGCGAGTTACTTTATTCTACGGGGCCACAGAGACTGGACCTGTTACTTCGCTCATCTCCTTCTGCGTTTGCGGCTTTAAAAAAGCCCACCAGGCTCCTCCGGCACCAGAGAGCTGCTCCCTTGGAGGGGGTGTTGCATGTCAGCCTCCCGTGGCACCTAGTGGGAAACGGACCGAGACTCCCACGGCGATGACGGCGCTCCAAGGGCAGGAGTCACAGAGACAGGCAGACGGAGGGAGAGAGACCCCGGCGTGAGCCGCTCCGGACAGGGGACAAGCACCCGCATCGCTTCTGCTCGGGGCGACTCCCGCGCCGCGCCGCGCC